ATCTTTTTCTACCCCAATTCCATGTAGATAGCTAACACCAAGACTACTCTGTGCATAAACATTTCCTTGCTCAGCTGCTTGATGATATAGTTTAACAGCCTTTTCAACATCTTTCCCTACTCCAATTCCGTGTTGGTAGCAATAACCTAGGTCATTTTGTGCATTAACATGCCCTTGTTCAGCTGCTCTTTGGAACCATTCAACTGCCTTTTCTGCATCTTTTCCTACTCCATTTCCATGGTAATAACAATAACCAAGATCATACTGTGCATTAACATGCCCTTGTTCAGCTGCTCTTTGGAACCACTCAACTGCCTTCTCTGCATCTTTTCCTACTCCATTTCCATGGTAATAACAATAACCAAGATCATATTGTGCATTAACATGCCCTTGTTCAGCTGCCTTTTGATACAGTTTAATTGCCTTGTCTGCATTTTTTTCTACTCCACTTCCATAGTAATAACAATAACCAAGGTCATACTGTGCATTAACATGCCCTTGCTCAGCTGCCTTTTGATACAGTTTAACTGCCTTGTCTGCATTTTTTCCTACCCCATTTCCATGATAGTAACAGTAACCTAGGTCATACTGTGCATTAACATGCCCTTGCTCAGCTGCTTTTTCATACCATTTAGCTGCCTGTTTAACATTTTTTACTACCCCAATTCCATGATAATAACAATAACCTAAGCCATATTGTGCATTAGCATGCCCTTGTTCAGCTGCTTTTTGATACTGTTGAACTGCTTTCTTAATATCTTTTTCTGCACCAACTCCATGCTGATAGCAATATCCAAGGTTATACTGTGCAGCAGCATCCCCCTGTCCAGCTGCTTTTTGATACAGTTCAACTGCCTTCTTATCATCTTTTTCTACCCCAATTCCATGTTGATAACAAACACCAAGACTATTCTGTGCATAGACATTTCCTTGTTCAGCTGCTTTTTGATAGAGTTTAACAGCCTTTTCAACATCTTTTCCTACTCCAATTCCATGTTGGTAGCAATAACCAAGACTATTTTGTACAAATGCACTGTTAAAACATATAAGAACTAATGTGAGTATTAGTATTAGTATTAGCCTGAATCCCACTGATGAATAAATACTAATACTGTATAACATTCTAATACTATAATGTCTCTGTTTATTTGCTTTTTGATACAATTCAGCTGCCCTCTTAACATCCTTCTCTACTCCAGTTCCATAATAATAACAATCACCAAGTTTAGTCTGACCATTAGCATGTCCTTGTTCAGCTGCTTGTTGATACAGTTCAACTGCCTTTCTAGTATTTTTTTCTATTCCGAGTCCATGCTGGTAGCAAATACCAAGGTTATATTGTGCATCAGTAGAACCATTCTCAGCTGCTATTTCATACAATTCAATTGCTTTTTTAACATCTCTTTTTACTCCAATTCCATGCTGGTAGCAAGCACCAAGGTTGTTTTGTGCAGTGACATGTCCTTGTTCAGCAGCCAGTTTATACAGTTCAGCAGCCTTTTTAGCATCTTTTTCTACTTCAATTCCATGTTGGTAACAAACACCAAGATTATTCTGTGCATCAGCATGTCCATACTCAGCTGCTATTTCATAAAGTTCAACAGCCTTTTTTGCATCTATTTCTATTCCTATTCCATTTTGATAGTGATAACCTAGGTTATTCTGTGCAAAAACATTACCTTTTTCCACAGACAATTTATAGTAATCAGTTGCTTTTTCAAGATTCTTTTCAGTTGATATTCCATATGCATAAAAAAACCCAGTTAACCAAAAACATTGTCCACAATCACTATGATATGTGAGTCTTTTAACAAGTGAATGATTCTGTTGATCCCATCCATAATGTTCTAACCATGTCTTAATTGAATCAGCAATCTGGTCTTGACTTTTCCCTCTCAATGTTTCTTCATGATATTTATTTGACAGTACATCAGTGAATGGATGGTCTGAAGGCACTACAAGCTGAGGAATCATGCCTAACCTATCAAAAATCTGCTCACATGACGGTCTCCGTTCAGCCACATCATCCCAACATGCTGAATATAGCATAGCATATGCTTCAGGGGTTTCTGGAACTGGATCATCCCGATTACCATTTTCTCTATAGCGCATAATGTCATCATAATTCTGAAGCCCATCACACGGTCTCTTCCCACCGGAGATTTCCCACAACACCATCCCAAAGCTAAATATATCTGACTTTTTATCCTGCGTAATGTAAGCGTCACAAAAGCATCTTGGGTCAAGATAAGGAAGGGTTTCTTGAACGTTTGACCGACGTTCTTGTTGCAAAACTGTATTTGACAAACCAAAGTCTGTTAACTTCGCCACGCCGGCATGAATCAGGATATTATGCGAAGACTAATAAAACCAAGTTGCGTAAATATTCGAGCTGTATACAGTATTATAAAATCATTTATTGTATTACAACAAAAATAGCTACCAGACTTTTATGTAGAATGTCAAGTCCGTGGAGATATCGCAACCCCTCAATGATATTGATACCGAGCTTGCACCTTGCAAGCCAATCTAATTCAACCGATGCGTCTGATAGATAACGTCTTAACGAACCGTCGTCCGCATGCTCGAAGACCAAAACATATCTACTTAGCGGATCTTTTAAAATAATATTTGTTAATATTATGTTCATGTCATAATATGATTTACTCGATACTTACCCTCGCTCATTCCGAGGAACTGAATAATGTTAGGATGTTCATCGATCTTGCGAAAAACCTTGAGCTAAAATATAGTCGCGCAAGCTAAGTAAATAAAATATCCCAATCGATGCATACACTATTATTATAATACTTGACCTGTTCTACCACATTCTTGAACATCTCATCTTCATTTTCTGAATGAAGATGCTGGTATGCGACCATTCTATCAAGTCTCTTGGCTTTCGCTTTGAAAACTGCTCCATATCTTCCGATGCCGATGCACAGCGATTCAATAAAATCATGGTAAGTGTGAAACTGGATATTTTCATCTTCAATATTTTTTCTTAACCATTTTTTATCAGAGTAACCTGACGCCATGCTTGTTGCTGCCGTTGTAATGCTTCGCGGAGTGACTACTTATACTGGCACACACGATGTATGGCTGGCAGAATCTATAAATGAACTAGTCTGAGAATTGTAAACCGTGACATTTTGTGTTACTATATTTAGAACAACAAAAATTATTTTGGCATTGTATTTTTATTAACCGCGGCGGCGACGGCGGTAGCTAAGCCTTCTTTCTCAGCATATAGTTTCATTAAAGTCTTCGTATTCAATTACTTTGGTTTTTTTCTTTCCCATGAAGCATTTTTAAATTACGCATCGTTGCAATACATTTTTATTACAAATTGCATTGTTTTAGCTAAAAGTGTTTTCTATTTTGTATAACCTGACTAATCTCACTAACTTTATTAGTGAATGCAAAAATTCTTTACAAAAAAGATCACAAGCGTTGCACTAAATTACTAATCTGGAACTGTATGCTCTGACCGTAGTGCAATCCAGCCCGATTCGCAATAGGCACATCATTTATGCGATAGTAGCGAACTGGGTCGGGCCAGAACATTTACATTGGGAAAATCAACTATGCCGTTTTGGTAATTTGCGTGGGTAATTGATCAAGACAATGTTGTATTAGCTCAAGATGACATAAATAGTCGAACACGAAATTCACATTGCTAGACCATAATGAGGTAACGAATAATTTTGCGTATTTTTGTGAACAAACAATTAGATTTCTCATTCGCCCATTGTCGATCAAAGACATAATAATCCGTTTCAGTTCACCAGAAACAAATGTGTTGCATAGTCCGTTTCGGTTCACCAGCAACAAAGGTAAACATCGTTTGAAGACGTAGTTTTGTAAGAAAATTTGCCATGGTAAGGCACGTACAGTATTTGACATTTATGGGAGATAAGTCAAAGCTTTGGCTTCCTATTTTGTTTAACTTTATTCGATTGCGCGGCTATCAGGCAGACTGATAAACTGTACCAGAAATTATGTTTTCCAATTTTTATTTTTGAAATTTGACCTAAACATATTATTTATTTTTAACGGACACAAGTATTCAAGGCATAATACTTGGCAAAATGCCTAGGACACTACGATTATGGCGATCTATGCTCAAGACCAGCAGCAGTGGGCTTCAATCTTCTTGCAGACTATTTATTCAAACATCGTTATTTCTACCATGATTATATACGGTATTGTATAAAAACATACGTAGTTATTGATTTTTAACATTCATTTGATTAAACTTAAAATGTGTAGTAGTAGGCGCAGTCTATAGGTATTTAGATCACTATGTTCTGACCCAAATCGAAATCTGACCCAATTCGGAATAGGTTCGACCCAAATCGAAATAAGCTCAGAGTGAATCTCTATGCGATATAATCACAAAATTTATGCACAACGATCGGACACATACTGCATAACAGGGTACACGACAGGTTATATGTTAAGAGTAATAGTTTCGATGACAACGTTGACTACAGATACTATTCACTCTTACATGAGCACAGTCCGATTGACAGTTACATGCTCTTGATTCTTCACTATTAGCTAGCGCCAGATGTCTCGCCACTTCAGTTGGTGATACAGTTGTATCTGGTATATCTTCCAACTCATGAAAGTCTGCTAGCGTTAACTCAAGGTTGGCCGCTTGATAGCATACCTAAAGTAAACTAAGCCTATATAAGTTATCTCTTACACCTTCACGGCAAATTTTCTACCAGGCCGTGTTCTGGAATGCGTAGTCTAACTACATCATCAACAATAAACGACAAGAACTACTCTTCCACCTCTTAGCTTTTTTGTCTAATGCATTCTACATTGCGATCGATATTTTGTTGCGAATTGCGTCATGTATATCAGTGATCGCTGATTCGTTTTCATTATCGTTATCATCATCCATACGGTCTGTATAGAGTCGTCACTTAGTATATAGTATCATAAATACATTAATAAAACTAAATTTATACTGTACTATTCTACCGTCTATGACCAGCCTCCGACGGGCAGAGAAGATTACTACTGTGCAAGGTGATGGAAGTTTAGGTATAGGCTGGGCTGTAGTCTGGGTATACTAGATTCTCATCAGGCAGCTGATGTGGGAAGCGGTTGAAGCAGCGTATGGTGGACTGGATTGCATCCCAGAAACAACTATCTCGTTAACAGTGCTAATAAGAGACAAAGCATAGACGAAGAGTGCCGATATTTATGCAAACAATAATTGTATTAATTATTGAACGTTTAATGCTGCATCTCATGTTATTTGTTATAGTTTATTATTTATTAAAGACGAATAAACAGTTATCTCTCCTTTATGAATTGCATTATAATGGTCAACAACTGCTTTTAATATTTATTGTCACAAAATCCCTGAGCTAAACTATCAGTTAATATACTAACTTGTATCTGGCTTTACCGCTACAGTATTTAACCTCATCGATTCACACACTATAAAGGAGTGTCCGTATTTAAGACGCATACAATTATATAAACTTTCAAAATAACAAGTTAATGTTCACGCTGTATAATCGATAATAGGGGATTTTGCAATTTAACAACTATCTCCGGCATATCTATCAAGTATTTCAAGAACAGGAGACAATCATAACACTGAGAATTTATTTCATCGACAGGGCTATTTTTATAGGTTATTTCGCTGACATTATTTCGACAATAACTATTCAGCAACATTATTTTGAAATTAAAATTTTTTTGGTCATTGACTGTCGGCGAAAAGGTTGTCGACGAAAATATTACACAGCGGTATACGAATTCTTTAAGAACATATTACGACGGACAAATTCAGTTTATCTGAGGTAATGAATAAGTTGGCAACAGGTAGCAGTCCCATTTCCTTTTTCAGGATTACGGAGATTCAATGCAGCTTTGATTATAGAGATTATATTAGCCCAGGGAAATCATCTTCGATTAATTACAAACAAATTCTACGTTTGGGCGAGTTTCTATTGAACATCTAAAACAGACCATTCATATTTGAGTTTTTTTTTTTTCACCTGATATGGCAACGACTACAAGCATAGTAGGTCAAATTGACCGTGATTTTAGTTAAATACTTGAGGGGCATACTTACGAAGAAAGGCAACTGTGCATTTAAATATTAGCAAGTTAAACTGACTATACATTTACATGTATATTAGTATTTAATAATATCAACCCTGCCACACTTACCGCACACACGCATGAAATTAATTTTTACAAACGCCACATTTCGTGTGAATTAACAGAATTAGTATTGGCGATATTACTATACTAGGAAACGGGAACCGTTGCGAGTCCGGAGCAAAAATTCACATGACTTACAAGTAACCAATCAGGAACTTGTATCCGTCAATTTTAATATTTTTTACATACCGTATAAATAATCAGCACGTAAAGTATAATCCGCAACAGATCTATAGAAGCACACTATTATTTTGTATACTTACGTAATGAGCAGTAATATTCATGTATTAATTTTTTATATAATTATAAAAATATGTTAATAAAAAAAGTACAGTTATAAGAAAGAATGAGATTTGGTATATTAATATATGAATGGTTATATGTTATGCTTTATTTTGTAAATTGAGAATTGAACGTGTGCATTTGCTATTTCGGAATCGTAAATAATCATAGAGCAAAAAACATGATGTAGGCGGAAGATCTTCACAACGCGATCATTAAAAACACGAAAAGACAGAATACTAAAGATGAATAACCAAACTGTTAGTGATGGAGCATTACGAATCCGCAAAAAAAGAGCAATGGAAACAGCTGATGAATGAGAATCTCGTCTTAGTAAGGACCGAGAAAGGAAAAGAAAAAAAGCAGAAGAAACCAAGGAAAATTGTGCCAACCGATTGGAGTATCAACGTAAGAAAGCTATGCAACAAAGGACAACGCCACAACATGAACATGGTAATACACAGCAAACATTTGAACTACCTCCTGCTGCTAAGCTTAGCATGGCTGATCAAAAGCTTTTGAAGGATTTTCATAAAAGGATGGATAAGCTTCAACATGTTGTTTGTCCTGTTTGTAATGAAAGTTGTCCATCAATAGTGCTTGTAAAAGGAAAATGTCAACGGTGCTATAGTGAAAAGATCATGCCTAATAAATTTTCCGCAGATAACAATATGGACCCAGGAGACATTCCAGAAGAACTTCAAGACCTCACAGAGATTGAAGAAATGCTTATTGCAAGAGCCTTCACTGTAATGTCCATATACAGATTACGTGGCGGTCAGTATGGATATAGAGGAAATGTTGTAAATTTTCCTCAGGATATATGTGAGTTTGCAACACGGCTTCCACGGCATCCCATTGTCATTGGAAGTTCTAATCATACAACGCCATTCTGCTATGATTTAACAGCATTCCGAGATTTCACTGTCCGTCGGGCAAAAGTTGCCTGTGCATTACGGTGGTTGAAAGCCAATAATCGATACTATACTGATATTATAATAGATGAAGAGGCTCTTCAATCCTTGCCGGAAAACTGTTCTATTGCAGATCAGCTACCACAAATTGAAAATGATCAATTAAATGAGAATTCAAGTGAAGATGAAAATGGCAATGATAATATGATCACACACACCTTTGTTCCATCACCTCCTCCATCTCATAGTGAAGAACTTGCTATTAAAAGCACACTTAATCGAATACAATTTGAAAATCCACCCATGACATGGCCACAGATTGACAATAGTCCTATAAATGAGTTCCAAACCCCAGGTTATATTGCAATGGCATTCCCAACATTATATCCAACTGGAAAAGCAGATCTTCATGCAGAACATATTAGAGATATAAAGCCAGCAGAATACTTCAAGCACCTGCTTAGATATAAGGATGGAAGATTTGGACAACACACCTGTTGGCGTTACTTTGCATTGAATTCTCAGATGCGATGGCAGGCATTGCAAGAAGGGAAAATATATGTTAAGCAAAACTTAAATGATGATGAACTTACTGTTAATGACATCCAAGAGAGAATTGCAACAGGTGATAAACACATGGCTGATTGGATAATGCAGTATGGTCATGGCAATTCTGGATGGCACGGAGATGTGAACTGGCAGACATGATCAAACAACTGGGTTCAAATGGAATGATATTTTTTACATTTAGCTCTGCTGACCTGCATTGGCCTGAATTGCATAAGTTAATGCCAGAAAGAAATACAAAAAAAAATGAATACACAAAATGTTATCATACAAACCTTGTTGATAATCCACATGTTGCTGCTTGGTTTTTTAATGAAAGGTTTGAAAAATTTTTCAATCATGTGCTAAAGAAACATTGGAATCTGGAAGATTGGTGGTACAGATTTGAATGGCAACATCGTGGCAGTGTCCATGTACATGGTATTGGAAAGATAAAACATGGACCAACAATTGAATGGGAAAAAATAAAAGATGATGAGAATGCAATGAATGAGATAGTCAAATATGCTAATAGTCTAGTTACCACAATTAATCCAGGGATTAATGCACCTATTCCAAACCGCCATCCATGCCAGAAGAATCATAGTGAGCTGCAAGATGATTTGCAAGATTATATTGATCTAATTAATAAGCTGCAGCGACATACCAGATGTAGTCCTTCTTACTGTATTCACCTTAATCAAAAGGAGAACAGATATGTAGGTTCAAATATCCTAAAGAAAAGTCAGATTACACATTTGTGCATGATGATAGCCATGGCAGACCAGAACTTGTAACAGCATGAAATGATCCACTTATAAATCCGCACAGCAGATTACAACTGCAAGGATGGCGGGCAAATGTTGACTTAATATTAAAGCCTATCCTCAGCACACATGCAGCTCTACAATATATTTCTAAGTATGCAAGTAAATCTGAACCACAGTCAGTAGCATTTTCAGAAATATACAATCAGATACTTAGAACAAGTCAGAAGAATGATCCTTCCCTTATTACAATTCAGAAGCTCCTCCTCCACAGTGTTTCTGAGTGTGATATTTCAGCTCAAGAAACAGCTCATCTTCTTCTTGGAATTCCCCTATACCATTCAAGCTGGTCATTTGTTACATTAAACCTTAACAAGGAATCACCACGATAGCTTCACGGTAGTGGCAGTGAGAAAGGAACAGGCCTAAGCAATGAATTTGGATGCACAGGACAATCTCCTTTGACAAAGTACTGGAATAGACCTGTAGAATTTGAAGACTTTTCATTATTTCAGTTAAATCTAACACACAAATTTGTTAATGGAAATTGGAAAAAATGTGCAAAAGAAAACATAGTCCAAATATGGCCACGACCATCCCCAATACATCAAGAATCTGATTGGGAAGAATTTTGTTGAGTAAAGGTCCTTCTTCATGTCCAGCACAGAAATATTGAACAGTTGACTGAAAGTGGTGATATCAAATGGTCAGTACTGTATGATCATTATATCGAAGAGATTAACAATGACCCAAATGACCTGCTTGGACCAGCTACAGATAATAAAGAAGAGATTTCTGAAGAAGAGGAGCTACTGGAAGAAGAAAATGATGATGATGTGAGGATCAAGAGTCTAAGATGACGTATTCCTCTCTGAATTTGCTGCAGAACGATAGGTGTCACCAAGTGCCGAACGGTGATACAGGCAGCAAATATTTGCTGCTAATGCAGTAAAGTAGTACCGGCAGCGATGGTAGATTAGTAATTAGAAATTAGAACGA